ATCAGCTTAGTACCAACACAGGACTCTAGTTTCAGGTCATTGAGAGTGCTAGTGGCATGATCTCATGTCAGAAATTACATGTGATATGGCAACTGAACAGGTGACTTGACTAAAAAGTTTTTATAACCATTACTTTAAAAAAACATATTTTGCACTATTTGTGTAGAGGATATATTTTTGCAATTTAGCCCTAGTTTGTTTTTTCTCTCAATCATTTAAGTTGTCACACTTTGTGACAAAAAAGTCATTCGGAATTAACTTGCTATGAAATGCTATTTTGTATTATTGGACTTAAAGCCTTCAACACAGTAAAAGTATGAAGATGAATAAAATGGACAAAACACTCTTAAGCCTATTCATTGTGTTCTGTGTGTTATAGTTTTCAGGCTTCTGAAATGAGTAGGATTAAGTTATTTGTCATCTTTGGCAATTCATGTTTTTCCATTCATCCCTTAATTTTAATGTGACTTGGGATTTGTTTTTCCTCGCCCATATATGTAAAAGCACTTCTGATTTGAAAAAAATCTTACAAAAATTACCTTGAACATCCATCCATTAATGCATGACTGTGTTACTCCAAGTTCATTTTTACTGTAATGAAAAAATGTAAATATTTGGCTCATATTTTTTTAAACTTCAAGATCAAATATTTCTAGGCAATAGTTCAACTCATCTAAATTTTTCATAACTTAACTGTATTTGAGATTATATACCTTTAAATGATATCATCTGAACTGAGTATAAGCCCTAGTTTTTATTTACATAATAAACAAAATCTCCTGCTGCTTCCTTTCAGGCCCCTAATTTTGAATTCAGAATTCATCTGCGTTTGCTTGACCCTGCTGATGTGCCTTTTAATTTTTTTTTCTGAGACTTTTTCAGTACACATGGTGAGAAAAAGACCCTGTAAATTTATAGTAAATAATATCCTTTATGTCATCTCTGCAGATTTTGTTTAAAAAAAAAAAATTCCATCCTCCTCTCCCCAACCTAAAATTAAACCTGAATAATAAGTTTTTAGGGTTGTTTTGTTTTGTTGTATTGACTGCCAGAGATAGATAAAAACACTGTATGAAACAAAGTCTTGAAGACTACTGAAAGTAATTTTTCAAATTAGTGTGTTACATTGTAAATTGTTAAATGTAGTTAGCTACATTTTTGTTATTTCCATGTGTTATTTTAAAGTATTTAAAGTAATACCATCATCACTGTTAGAATTGTAGAACTGTCTAGTTCTTCATATTTAGATAATTTAGGTTTCATAACACTGCAGAAAAAGATGCTTAAGTAGTTAGTTACATGACTTATGCAGACAAGGTTGGCTTTTTAGAATCAAAATAATGAATCTCAGAGTAACTTAACCTGTACCATCCAGTATTCTATTGCTGTTTTTCCATGGCTTCTCTTAACATAAAAATATTTCAACACAAAATAGTAAAGTATCCCTATGATTGAGGTTGGCTCAAAGATAATGAAACAAATGACAAAAAGAAACCTTTTTGAAATTCCTCTTCTGGAATGAAAGACAAAATGATTTTTAGATCAGTTTTGTTCCTGTACAAATAGTTTAGAGCATTTTCAATTGAATCATCTTTTTGGTATCATTAAAGTAATCCAGGTTGTCAAAAGTCACCAGCTAAATTCTACAATTTATGGGACTCTGTCACCATCTAGGTCTAGAGGTGGTGGGGGAACCCGTACATCAGTCTCTACTCCAAGGCACATATGGGCTTCCTAGCACATGGAATTAGAAGTCAGATGAATTCATTTTGTTATATTTATTGAAGACCTCATTACATTAGTGGAAAGGCCCTGATAGAATTAGGGGCAGCTTGGTGTCATGGGAAAGATCTAGGCCAAAGCCTCACTCTGAGACTTGATAGCTGGATAACATTGGGCATCCATGTCCTCTTCTATAAAAGAATAATGCTTTCATGATGCAATTCACAGGATTGTTGCTGTTGATTGGTGCAGTACTGACATTAGGATGAAAATTTTATGAACCAAGCAATATATTGAAATTTGAGTATAACAATTATTAACTACCATTTTCTTGGGCACTTTTAAAGTTTATACTTTGACACTTTTTCAGGCACATTTAAGAACCATGCCCATTTTACAGATGAGGAAAAAAAATTCAGAGAGGTTCAGATGACTTGCTTCTAAGTGTTTTTCCTTGGCAACATTTGATTGCTCATTCTTACATTCATATCAGGTTTCTGAAAAGGGAAATTTGTGATTTTATCCCATTTGAAATCAGTTTTGAGATTTAATTTTTAAAAGCAAATTAAGCAGAGAACATAGACCCCTGGTAAGAAAAAAGTGCTTTTCAGCCAGTTCTTCTGATGAGTCAGGTAAGGCAGAATAAAAATATCTTTTGTTTCCTCTCCAGTTTTAATATAGCATGTGGTTCACGTTACAAATCTTAACGTAATTTCAAAGCATCATAATAACTTCCTGTAGTGTTCAAGCCAAAGAACCTGGTTTAGCATTTGTAACTGTTTTCCTTGAGTCTTCAAGTCCATGTCACACTTGAGAATTTACTCTATTTGTAAGGGATGTTATGTAACTTGATATTATGTAGATTTATATTTTTAGTGTTTTCCAGTTCACTGCAGTGTGTTGCAAGGAGTGATTTGGCCTCATGTTCTTACAGCGACCTTGTTTTAAGAAATTCATCTTAGGCCATTTATATATTTAGGTTAATTGAAAACTTAATACTTTTTTTAAGATTAGCAGTAACCTTTCACTTAATCACTTAACACCAAAGGTACCTTTCAAGACGGTAAATACTGAAATTGAAATTGGGTACGAAGTTGTGATTAAACTACTTTGGTGCATATTTTACAAGCCTATATATTTCTGCATCATTCAGTGGCACAAAGAAAAGGGATTATGTTTCCTATTGGTACAAAGCACATTGAAATTCTTACTGGAAATGAATTATACTCCAATAAGGATGAAATCAGTTTGACTATTGGAAAGCCTTCTGCTACTGCAATCAATTTCTCCTGCTTTCCAAGGCTTTGTGAATTGTTTATTGCATATTAACTATGCTTTGACAAATTTTTCAGAAGGGTGCTTTGTATAGATCTCAGACTATAAAGGAAAGCTTGTTAATGCATTTCTCAAAATAAAGTTTATAAATTATATTTCTGGCATTTGATTTCCTAAGACCTATTTTATTGTTTAAAATGGAAGATTGCAGATTTCTCACAGCTTTCAGATTTTTAAAAGAAACCCTTCACTTCATACTGTGTATTTCTTGAGCTGTTTTTTCCCTCATGTTAAAAGAATAGTTCTTACTATTGTCAGCTTCATAAGAACATTGGAGGGGACTCTGGGGACAGCTTTCCCTTTTAAAGAGTTCCTTCCCCAGGAAATAATTTTTCTCCGGCAACTAGACCCTTTTCTACAATAGGAAAAAGCCACCTCTCCCTGCCACAATCCCCAGTTCTATTTCGTCCCTCCTAATCAAGACTTCATCTCAAATTCCAACCCACTTGATAGCTATGATGCTTTTACATTGCTCCTCTTTGAGGCACTGCTTCCCTTATGTAATCCCTTGGAGCTATCGTCCATTTACTGGGGCAGCTAGGTGGCAGTAGATAAGAGTTCTGGCCCAGGATTCAGGAGGACTTGAGTTTAAATCCAGCCTCAGACACTAGCTGTGTGACCCTGGGAATGTCACTTAACCCCATTGTCTAGCCCAAAAATGTTTTTACTTTTACTCAGGCCCTATAATTAAGTACAAGATTGTAGATTTAGAGCTGAAAGGGGCTTCTGGCCTTTGAGCCTAAGTAAAATTCTTCACATTGCACCACCTATATGCTAAGAACTGATCTCGGGTAGGATTTTATATGGACGTTATTGCCACAAAAACCCTCTAAGGGCAAGTAATCATGGTAGCTACTGGGGTGAGCATGACATTGAACGTAACTTGATTGTATAGTGTAGTAGGAAATAAACACTCCCAGTTAAGTACATTGAGGTACAAAACTGTGTAAATAACAGGCAAAGGGGGATCAAGGAAGGTTTAAGAGGTGGCATTTGCATAGAAACTAAATGGAAAGGGTGATAGGTAACAGGGTAGGATATTTGATGAATTCAAATCTGGCTTCAGACATTTACTAGCTGTGTGACCATGGGCAAATCATTTAACCCCATTTGCCTGTCAAATGAGCTGGAGGAAGTGGCAAAATACTATCTTTGCCAAGAACTCCAAATGAGGTCGTGAAAAATCGGACATGACTGAAATGACAGAACTGAAACAATAAAGGGTATTTGACATGTTCAGGAGTAAAAGTAGTAAAATAGACCAGTTTGGCTGAAGTAAAGCAAATAAATAAAGCCTGTTCTAACAGACATTTTTTTAAATGACTCAATAGCCCATGATATCCTTGCACTGCACTCCCCCAGAGGAAGTGAGTTCAAACAAATATATTTAGCTATACTGTCCCTCCCCCCCCCAAACATAACTTTTGACGTTATCTCATGTTATGTGTCCAGGGCATGAACCAGCTATGGCTACCGAGCAAAGCATCAAGCTGGGATGAACTTGGACTGCTTATTGTGCCCCTGACTGATATGAGAAGACCACCACCAAAGAGGTGCCTCTCTACCCAGTGTCAGGGGTGTCAGCGTGACATCTTTAAGGAAGAAAACTGCACATCCTGATGAATCTGCTTTAGAACAAAGACAACCACAAGACATTTCAGTAGACGCGTGACAAATAATAGGAAGGGAAAAGGCCAAACATATGCCCATTTAGGGAATACTAATGCTGTTTAAAAAAGAACAAGGGGTTAGTTAGAACCATCCAACAGCAGTGGTTAACTGTGGAAGGCAGTGGAGAAGTCCAAACACCTAAATGCCATTTGTGGATGACCTAACAATAGGGTGGGTAGACAAAGAAGTCACTGCGTATAATTTCTTAATAGCCAGGGGAAAGAGATGGGACCTGTGGGTCTATGCCTTTTGTAAATTAAAAAAAACAAAACTCTACTTGACAAAAGTTATTTATTTCTAACACATTTTTAGAAATTTTATTTTTGACTGGACTCAGACTTCGAGGTGGAGGCTCTCAAGGAAGATAGTCGACGTCTCTTAGCAATCTGTTCCTGTCGTTTTTCTTTAGCTTCCTAAGTTTAAAAAAAAAAAAACCTCGCATTAAAAGTTTATACTTTATTTGTTCAAAGAACTATGTGCACCTACACATACAAATAAGTGATGTACAATGAGTTAGAATATTACCAAACTTATCACCACCATCCTATCAATCCAGAAGATTAAAAATAGGATTTTTTGAAATTGAGAAAAGCCGTGTATAACTTTACCTTCATTCTCTTGGCCAAAAGCTTAGCATATTCTGCTGCTTCTTCCTTGTTCTTCTGGGTGCGTTGCTTCTTCAAAGCAATTCGTCTACGTTTGTGCTGCAGAACTCGAGGAGTCACCAGACGCTGAATTTTAGGAGCCTTGGTCCTGGGTTTCTTACCTATAGAAAAGTAGATTTAATGAATGTTGCTGTTCGATACATATGAAGTCAAAATCCTAGCCTCCTAAAGACCTATCCCCTTTAACATGAATTTAAAATAAACAGGTACCCAAAAGCATTTTAAGTGCTACTCTGATTAGTAATTGTTTATAAGCAACAAGCTTAAATTATATAGAGCAAAATGCTGCAACTTACTATTTTTAACACTAATTGTGTTAAACACATTTAAACTTCACTAATTGTAATAGAGATAAATTCAGATTACACTCTATTTTTAAAAATCTCTAAATAAAATTAAGTAAATATTTGAGGAATCCTTATTTGTAATTGTAATCCTTAACTGGCAATGCTTACAAATGAAGTCCTAAAAAATGAGCAAATAAAAGTACTACCAGGGATTTCTATTTTTTTTTTCTTAGCTAAAGATACAGAATAGGAAAAAATTGCAAGCCCTTCAACTATTAAAACATCTATAGTGGAAAATGGAAGGGGGTGGTGGAAAGAAAATCCACCAACAAAATAATATTTATCCCAATATTAATAGTTTATTTTCCTATCATCCTTTTCCATCATAGATGAAAACTAAAAAACCAGTTATGAGAACTCAACTTCCTGGGGAATTTGTAGTCCTAGGCCACTTCAATAAAACTAAATCATTTGGTATTTTCCAGTCTAGTCCTTTGCTCATACTTAATTTATGTAACCAAGGACTCACGGAAAGGAAGAGGTAATTTACCACATATCTGTCTTTAAATTTCATTACTGGTTACTTGAGAAAACTCCAATCTAGCTAGATGGAACCGCATCACCTTATCACTAGAATGTCTTTTTAACAAGTTAGGTTCAAGAAAATTATACTTATAGTATATAACTATACACCAACCAGACTTCCCAAAACAGATGCCTTACATCATTCTCAAACTTGAGTCCAATTTATTAAAAAAACAAACAAAAAAAACAATGGAAATAGCATAGCTCCCCTCCAAAAACCTAACAAAGATACTTTTATTAAATGATTTTTAAATTTATTGCAGAAAAGAACTCCATATTTTAGATGTTACTATTTGAGACCAATTCAGGAGTCACCTAGAAGGACCCCAAATTCCACGAGTAAGTATCACCTCTTTAAAAGTTTGTTTTTTTTAAACAGATCCTGAAGGTATATACTTTATAGCAATTTCCTACCATCACCAGTTGAACAGACTGTGACCCTGGAAAATCAGTTTCTTCAACCTTTTGCTCAAATCTCTTCCTAATATGATTCTGAGGGACTTCACTGGCTTACTGTCCCATAAAGACAAAGACAAAGTTGACAAGTAATAATCCTAGTTCTTGAGCTGCACTTGGCAAGTAAGGTTACGTATTGGAGAGGATGTTATAACTTAGGAGGTAAGCAGACCAGAATGCAGGATCCTGCCTCAGATACTTTATTTTATTTTAGCCTCAGTTCCCTAATCCACAAAATGGAAATGGCACAGACATTGCAAGGTAGTAAGGATCAAATGAGAACATGCAAAGCACTTTGCAAACCTTAATACACTAGCTATTTTATTGTATACCTCCTCTAATTTCCCTATCATAGCAGAACCAACGGGGCACATGGTAATCGTGAGATACTTTTATATAAAGCATAGCTCCAGAATCATAAATTAAGGACCTCTTCTAAACATGATCCCTTGATAACCCACCATACATCTTTGAGAAACAACTCCACTAGTCAAAAGTAGCCAAAGTTCTAATGCTTAGGGAGCTCACCTCAGTAGTACATAGACAGACTGATCATAACTGAAAAGTCAGTTCTCACTTCTGCCATTGGCTCACTATGTGTGTCCCTTTCTCCAGCCCTCCCACAAAACTTCAGCTCTACACTATTTTAATGCCAAGCCTACAGTGACAAAGAGCCGACAGCATCACGATAGTAAGATGCCATCTTTTTTTAAACCAGGAAATGACACACACCCCCACCATCGCAAAAGATATACTCTCTACCCCTACCTTCCTTGTTGAGGGGCTTTCTCACAACATATTGCCGGACATCATCTTCTTTGGACAAGTTGAAAAGTTTTCGGATTCTGCTAGCTCTTTTGGGCCCCAGGCGACGAGGCACAGTTGTATCTGTCAGTCCTGGTATGTCCTTCTCACCTTTTGAGAAAGAATGTTGAAAATGATACTAAAAATGGATGTTTTCAAACTTCCTCAGATCCATGGTTAAGGATTTTGCTTAGTACTGAAAGAATAATCTCACTAGTTATATTCTTCAGCTGACATTTTTCAAAGTCCAGGTTATTAGCTTAACTGGAAAAAAAAATATCTATGTGCCTTTGAAAAAACAAAACCATACTGCTCAACAATGATTCGACTGCACTGAAACCTGCTCTTGGGGACAATACTCATTCCCCACAACCAGTTGTTGTATTTGGGCACAAATAGGAAATGTGTTTCCTGAGGATAGGGAAAAAAGAAAAAATCTGAGCCTTGGCAAATCATTTACCTCAATTTCTTAATCTGTAAAAATCAAAAGTTTGGACAAGATCTGAAAAGTAACTGACAAAAGGTCTAATATTCTTGAGACCATACAGGAATAGCATATGATGCATAAAGGGAAAAAAAGTATCTGGACAATAATATTGCTAAATTAACAGTCATTATGAAATAAGCCTCTAAACACTTCTTATAGAGTAACCAAAGAGTTAGGAAAAAAAATACAAATGCTCACCTTTCTTCACAATAACCAAGTTGAGGACACTCAGGTTGGCATCCACAATGCAGCCCCTAACAGATTTACGTTTTCTTTCTCCAGTTCTTCTAGGGCGATAGCAAGAATGGCCCTTACTGAGCAGCAGGCGGACACGTCCGTGAGCCAAAACACCCTGCTTCATGGGGAAGCCTTGTTTGTCATTCCCACCACTGATACGGACCACATAACCCTAGAGGGGAGACAAAAATCAGTTCATTTTAATGCTTTCATTACTCATCTTTAACAGAAGATTGGTCTTTTCTTTACAACCCAAGTTTTCATCAAAAGGTGAATAAAAAAATTCTATCAATAAAATTTTATTTACCTATCTACTGTACAGTTAAAACCTTTAAGCATCTTGCTTTGTAAATACGTTGCAAAACTGGTGCATTTCCAGCCTAAATACTACACCAAAGACCACAGCAGAGCTACGGAGACCAAAATGTCCATTAAATAAATAATAAGAGGTTAACTAGTCTTCCTTACTTTGAAATGCCATTTCCTAAACACATTGCCTACACTTTCCATCATAACTCTCAACACCTATGTATCAGGATGGTTAAACAATGACATTCCAATATGAATTCAAATTAATTTTCACCTTCCATTCTTCACCCAGAGCATCAGCAGAAACTTCAGTGGCCATCCGTTTCTCATAAAAGGTCCGTAGCTTTCTCTCATCATCAACTTCGATGAGTTTCTGACAGCCAGTGGCTGGGAAAGAGATGTTGAGCTAGAAATTAAAAAAAAAAAAAAACCAAAAAAAAAAACAAAAAAATGAAACAGCCAATGTAAAGACTTTGAAAAGTACAGCATTAGATTTTAATAAATGGCCAGATGATTCAGGTTCAGATCTGGTCTCCACTACTATTTCTGTGACCTTTGGAAAATAATGGCTTTTATTATCATAAGGTCATAGATTTAAAGCTGAAAGAGAAGAGATCGTCTAGCCTACACCCCTCATTTTAAGGATGAAGTGACTGAGATCCAGAAGTTAAGAGCTTGTCTAAGATCACACAGGGCTTCTGAATGGAAAAAAGTGCTTTCCTATGCCATGTTCCTCTTGGGGGTCTGTTTATCTGTGAAATGATTAAAGGGCCTTTCAAGGTTCTGATGACCCAGTACTCCCATGAAACTACCAGTGCCCTTTCCTCCGGTAGAAAAATATGACACTGGCTTTTAATAAGCAGTGTTTGTCAGTAGGCATCAGTAAAAAAGTATTTATTAAACTCCTATGTGCCATAAACACTGGAGTTAAAGAGAAAGACACAAACACTGTCCAGGCCCTCAAGGAACCCCCCATTCTAACGGGGGTGGAGGAGGTACATTGTGACAAACCTGCAAACCACTACTATTAATAATAACTGTAGCTAACGTTTACATAGTGCTAGGCACTACTAATCACTTTGCAACTATTACCCCATTAGATTCCTGAGGTGGGAATATCCCCATTTTACAGATGAGGAAACTGAGACAAACAGTGGTTATTAAGTGACTCGCCCAGGATCACACAACTACTAAGTATAAAGATATATGGAAATAAGAGCGAAGGTACTAGCAGGGGGAAGGTCCAGGAAAAATGGGTTTTTAAGTTGGGGCTTAGAGGAAGCGCCTTCCCAGCGTGGGGGGCGGCCAAAGAAAATCGCCCGTGGAACTTGTGTTTTTCGGGGATTGCCCTGCCGCCTGCGGCCCCCCTTCAAACACTTGGGCACGGGGTGCAAATCCTCCAGATTCGCTCGCAGCCACTAAGCCATGATCACTGACCAACAGGGATCACCCAGCGTCGGATCTGCGGGTTAGGGGCAGCGCCCGGGCCTCCTGGGGCCGGCAAAGTGCCCACGCTCCACCATGGTGCTCGGGCCGGGGCCGACGCAATCCCCCGCCATCCTCTCTCCCCCAGCGTCCCGGCCACCGATGGCAATCAGCTGCGCCTGCTCCTGGCCCTGGTCCACATAATGCCGGGGCGAGGAGGGGAAGGGGCGGCGGGAAGACTGCCTTAGGAGGCTCGCACTGCACGCCCCCCTCCCGTCGCGGCATGCCCTACCTTCATCTCTACACAGCCGCCCGCTTCAGACCTGCCACGGGAAAGAGACTCGACTTCCGCTCCCTCCGGGTCACATAGGCTCTCGCAGATCCCGCGAGATTTTGCAGGAAGACGTAGTCGTTCATAGGCGGGACTTCCTGGGAAAGAGAGGCGATAGGAAAGAGCGGATTGGTGGAAGTGAATTTCCCTGGAGCCTTCGTTCTGACTGACGTCTTTCTCTGAAGTCGCGCCGACGTAGAGCCTGCGACTTCGGTCGCGTCTTTCTCTTCCGGCGCTCGTTCCAACCTTCTCCCGTGAGGCTTTTTGGCTCCGCGTCGGCCTGAGTTGGGTCTGAGAGCTGAAATATCGAGCCCGGCCTTTGGCGACCTGCGGACGGGAAGTCCAGAGAGCCCAAATCCCAGCCATCCTGGCCCCAACTCAGTTTCTCTCCAACTTTGCCTTTTGGTTTCCGTGACAACGCTCCGCGGGAGTGGGCAGTGGGGCCCCCTTCCTCTCTTTTCCGCCCCCTCCCATCGCTTGTTTTCGGTCCTTGCCTGGCACCTCCTGGCTTCATCCGCTTCAGGAGCCGTCGTATGATTTTACCTCTCTTGCCTCCCCATTCACATGCTCGCCCTTCCAGTCAAACAGGTCTGTTTGCTCTTTGCTACCTGAGATACTCATGGAACACCTACGTGTGTAGAATTTGTTTATTCCTCGCCCTTTTCTCGAAGAATTCCAAACTTTGTGTCTAAAAGAAGCAGGGAATACGTAGCTTCAAAACTCAGCTCGTGGGCCATGTTCTTCTACCTGAAGGTTTTTCTTAAGCTTCACTCCCCACCAAGTATACTTTGTGTTTTGTATTATTTTTGTATGCGTCATATTCCCTCAGATATAAAGTTTTTGAGGGCAAGAGCTGTGTGGTTTTTTTGTTTTTCAACATTGAAGCCCCAACGTGGATCATCAAATTAACTTCAATCTTTTGGGTATGTCCATTTTCCTGGCTTCAGTTATCACTTCTGAGGGCAATTCCTAAATCTCAACATCAGCTTTCATCTATATTTCATTGTCACTCCACTATAATAATATCAGGTACTCACATAGCACCTTAAGATTTACAAAGCACTTTCCTTAGAAGAACCCCTATAAGCTAAGTAGTGCAAATAGTATTATCCCTATTTTTCTAGGTGAGGAACCTGAGACCCAAAAGATATTAAGTGAATTACCCAGGAGCACTCCTATTTCCGATTGTCTATTAATAGATAGAGACATTTGATCACTTTCCCTCAGTGGACCTCAGTTTTCTCAAATGTAGAGGTATTGGTCCTTCTCCCTGTAGATCCTATGATCCTTTTTGCCCACCCTAACAAATTGGATTCCCGTCCTTATTTTGCTTTTCTCCATCAGTGATGTCAATCTTTATGGCATTCTTCTAAACCAGAAGCCTTATGTAGAATCACAACTATCTTTTATATCCACATTGCCCTCCAGTCTAGCTTATTTCTTCCATATAGATTCCATTCCCAGTGCTTCCACTTCAGTACATTCACAGAGACACCTTAAATTGAATATCTTATCCCAATTTTCTTACAATTTATGTCACCTCTTTATACTATTACTGGACTGATCTCTCCTAAACACTTTTAATCACATTTTAAAATATTTCCTTTGACCATTCCATTATATCCAGTTATTATGCCATTTCATCCCCTTCATTGCCAGACTTCTTGAAAATGTCTGCATTTGAGGCTTCTAGTTCTTTACCACCCACTGTAGTCAGGGTCTTCTGGGTCTACCATTCTACTGAAACTGTTCTGTCAGAGGTCCCATGACGTACTCATCAAATTCTGTGGCATTTTTTCAGTAATCTTTCTTGACCTTTCTGTGACACCCAACTACATTCTTCAGAAATACCATGCTTTTGTGTAATTTCCTACAATTCTACTACTCTGACTCTTTGGATAACACCTCATCTTCTTCCTGATCCTCTACGGCTCTGTTTTGACTTTCTCCAAACAGTCTCTTGGGAATCTTATTCATTCCCATGTCTTAAATTATAACCTCTGTGCAGATAACTTCAAAATCCTTTATCTCCAATCTTGACATCTATTCTGATCTTTAGGCTTGGATCTATATAGGATATCTCTACCTTCACCTCTCAGAAGCTCCACAAATTTAGTATGTCCAAGATCATGCCGCTAACCTTGCTCCTAATACTTTACCATTCTTGTTTGTGGTTCCACTATCCAGCTAATCTTCCATATTTTAAACTTTAATATTAACTTGACTCTTCCTCATCTTTTATAATCATTCACTTACAAAATCTCATTGATTCTACCTTTGCAAAATCCACCCCAATATAGACTCTCATTACCCTTGTAGTAGCCTCCTAACAAATAATTACCTCCACTCTCTCCCTCCTCCAGTCTGTTCCTCATATTGCCACTAATCTTTCTGACATACTTTTGTTCAAAAGTCTTCATTCTCCCTATTACCTACTAAATGAAATTCCAACTTCTTTGCCAGTCATTTGGCCTCCCATCCACCCACAATCTAGCACAACTCCATCTGTCCTATCTTATCTCATATTATTCCCTTCCATACATTCTCTGCCACAGCCAAACTGATCTCTGCTCTGCAAATACCTTTCAGACCCCTACTTCCCATTGTTCCATTTCCTTCCTTCTTTTCTTTGCTTGTTGGATTTCTACCCACCCCCCCTCTTTTAAAGTCCAACTCAACCCAGCTACTCCATAAAGACTTCCTTGATTCTTTCTCCCAAACCATCCGTTGTCAACTATATTTTCTCCCTCCATAATATCTCATATTGTCACCTCTTCTCCACTTATATAGCCATCACTCTAGTTCACTACCTCTTTCCTGTGCTATTGAAATAACCTCCTAATTAATCTCTCTACTATAAATCTTACTCTTCTCCAATCATCTCCCACACAGAATATTCCAGAGTCCTTAATGTCATTTTAAAAAAAAAAGTTCTCTGTTTTTGCTTGCTTACTTTCTTCCTCCCCCCACCCCCATTCTATCCATCTCTTTCTCCTAATCCCACTACTGATCAGCACAGGAGTTTGACCTATTTCACATTTCTGACCCAGACCAGTATGTCTTTGCTTAGGTTAGCCTAGTGATCCTCCACTCCGAGGGCTCACCCATTTTAGTGCAGATACCAGATAGGCTGTAGTCTTACTGGAGCTCAGAATTCCTGATCTTAAGCAATCCACAAATTATAACCTCCCCAGCAGCAAGGATCACAAGCATTTACATCTTCCTCTCCCCCCATTTCTATCAATGAAATAAATAATCAATAAATAATTTGATAAACATATACATAAATATCTGATAATGTTTATTAAACAGTAAAAAAAAGTTTTTTAATATAAAGAGACTAGTTGAGTAGACTGAGAGGGGGTTAGTCGTTATCATGTCTAAGATCAAATACAAACTCTTTGGCAGTTGAAGCCTTTCACAACCTTTCTCTAGCCTACCTTTCTAGACTTATAAATTATTCTAGCACTCCCTCTATGATCCAGTCAAACTGGCCTTCTCACTGTTCCTCATGTGAAATATTCCATTTCACAATTTGAAGGTTGGAAGAAAACTCAATGGCCTTTTAGTGTAACCAATTCACTGTAGCATACCTAAAAAGCTTGTCTTGGGTTTTCTCGAAGACATCCAAGGAAAGATAACTTACTACCTCTTTAAGAAGTCTGACGTACTTTTGTACATCTCCAATCATTTGGAAGCTTTTCCTGTTCAGTCGTGTCTAACTCTTGGTGACCCCATTTGGGGTTTTCTTGGCAAAGATAGTGGAGTAGATTGGCATTTCCTTCTCCAGCTCCCTTTACAGATGAGGAAACTAAGGCAAACAGAGTTAAGTGACCTGCCCAGGGTCACACAGTAAGTATCAGGGCTGGATTTGAACTCTGGTCTTCCTGACTTCAGGTCCAGCACTCTATCTCCTTTGACACCTAACTCCCAGTTACAATACTTCAAATAATTGAAGAGTGTTATCATTTCCCCCTTAGTACCCACATTGATGAGATCACAAATCTATTGAAATATTGAAGGTTTGTTTGTTTTCAGCTAGACCCGTGATTTTATTGATATGGGAAATTCCCCCTACCAATATAAATCAATATTTTCTTTGCAACTTACAGTCTTGAAAATTTGCATGGGGCACTGGGAGGTTCATTGATTTTTCCAGGGTCATACAGATTGTATGTGTCGGAAGACTTGACCAACTTCTTGACCTGGAGGCTAGCTCTCTGTCAACTATTTCTTGCTGCCTCTCAAAAGTAAATATTAGGAGTTGGGGGCAGGTGGAAAGGAAATATGATATTGTAAATTAAAAATGTGAGAAATACTGCTGACTTGGTTGTTTAAAGTAATTTAATACCTATCTAAAGTTTGAAGAAGAGGCGTTGGAGAAAAACCCTAACTATAATCATTGAACTAACTTTCTAACAAGTCCAACTTAAACATTTATCACAGTAAATGAGGTCCCTGTATTATTTCTCTATACCTAAGAACCTAGGTTGGGCCTCAATTCCTCTCACCAGTGCTGAGGACTACAACCCTATACCAATTTTCAGTTTTTATAGCTATGTCAATATTACCCACGGCAATACCTGCACAATGTCAGATGACAAGTTACCTGGATCTCACTTGGGGCTCTGATGAGGTATAGGATCTGGACTTCCCCACCCCTTGAACTTTCCCACAGACTTCAGGAACCCAGATTCACCAGAGGCATCTGGCGCATCCCAGTCAATAATCCTTTCAACTGCCCTTTCACTGTGGCCCCAACCCAGTCCAACCCTTCATTCTCCGTTACCTCCAACCCAGTCACTGAATTTTTGCTTAAGTTTCAGTAGCCCAGATCCCTGGTGCCTCTGCCCAAGGTATCTGGTACACCCCAGCCCACCCTGATTACTTAATTAGCTTACTTGATACTCCGTAATCTCATAGACCCCTTTTCTCAGTTACTTCCACCCCAGGCTACTTGCCACTCCTAGATCCCATCCACATCATCTCCCAATCTTTTTCCCTATAGCAATATCAATCTTGTCCCTATCAAATGCACACTCACTAGGAGTCTGGCCCTCTTGTATTGCCATCACAAATAAACTCTCTACAATGGTTGAATTCTTTCAAGGCAGACCTACACCCCATGCCCTTGCATTTCAGCATTAAGGGAGATGTTTTCCTGACATTTTACCCTAGCCACAATTTCTGGGACTTTCCAAGATTGCTTATCCTGCCCTCACGAGTTTGACCTATCAAGTCACCCCCTGAGTACCAGTACTAACGATAATTCTTGACCAGAGAATATTGAGGTTTTCACATCTCATTTTACAGATAATAAAGTCACCAACTGTCATAATATCTCCATATTGTGGCTTTCTGGATTGTAAATCTTTTGATGA